TTTGGGCATGCACACACTTGCACCTGATGTGAGTTTTAAGCTGCTGGGTCTGGAACTTGAACCACAGTTGACCATGTGGGAGTCCAGGAACATAACCATTATGCCATCTGCTGGTCCCACTGTTTTTAAATGACAGTGTTTGCATACAAGATGTGAGCGAGGCAGGGAGAAGGTGAAGGAAGTACCCTCCACAGGGTCTCCTCACACCACAATCCCCTTTCCCCAGTTCTCTGGCTCCTCAGGATCTTGGAAGTCCATGTACACATGTGTGTTTTCAGGTCAACCCAGTCAGCACACGGCTTCCTTGGCCCGGCCAGGTGGCATGGCTGAATCCCATATGACCAACTGTACAATTTGAGTCCTGGACTTAGTAGCTTGAGGAATACACCATGCACGTGTGTAACCAAAATCCTGAGAGGAGAGTGGAGAAGGGATTGCAGTGTGGTCTTCCCTCCTAAAGGGTGCTCTTTCTCTCTCCCTCTCTCTGGTGAGCAAACGTGCCCTATACCAGAAAAACAAAACAAAAACACTTCTGCTTTAAATTGTACAACAGGAAGGAAAATAAGGTAAAACTTACCAGAGAAAAAATTGTTACATCAAGTGAAGACTGGCCCAAATAATTGGTTAACCTGGAATTGTTGTAACTACTTTTACTGGAATTTGGAAATATTTTGTCACATAGAAGCTCTCCATCAGGGTTTAAAGTAATCTCCTTATTAGTTGTTAGGGTACTTTTAAGAAATGCCCTAGTGGCAACAATGAATGGACCAATACCAAGAGAAAGAGCGCTTGTCTGAAAAAACACCTACTGGCCCAGCTTAGAGGGCACAGTCCATAGCGTACTGGATGGACTGCAGTGAGAGATTGACAGCAGGTTTGGATCCATGAATGGGCCAGCCCAGCCAACGGTACAGTGATTAAGGTGATTGGATCACGTATGTCTAGTTGTGTGGTTCAAATCTTGGACTGGTGGCTTAAAACACGCCAGGATGGGACCTGCAGATGGCCTAATGGCTATGTTTCTGGACTCCCATGTAGTTGACCATGGTTTGAGTCTGACTCTCAGTGGCTTAAACTCACACCAGGTGCATATGCGTAATGGAAAAGGGACTGCAGCATGGCCATCCCCCCTGGGGGGTGATTTCTCACTTTCTGTCTCTGTCTCTCTGGAGATTGCACACGCCCTACAGCAAAAACCTCTTTAAAAAAAAAAAAGAAAGAAAGAAAAAGCCAGGAGGACCAGCAGATGGTGTAATGTTTACATCATCGCTGGACTCCCACATAGTCAATCATGGTTCAAGTCCTGGACCTGGCAGCTTAAAACTCACGCCATGCCATGTGTGCCTGCCCAAGATCCTGAGAGAATGGAGAACCACCCCTCTGGGGGTGGTTTCTCACTGTTTGTCTCCCTAGTGAGCACACATGCCCTACAGCAAAAATCTCTCTAAAAAAGAAAAAAACAAAACAAAACAAAAAAAAAACGCCTGGCCAGTGTGCCAAAAATCCTGAATAGGAAGGGGAATAGGAGATGGGACTGTGGTCTCACCATGTATATAGGGGTGATTTCTCTCTCTCTCTCTCTCAAGAGTGCATATGCCCTGTAACAAAACTGAAAAGAAAAAAAAAAGCCAGGAATATACATGGACACCCAGGATTCTGAGGAGCTGGAGGGCTTTATCTTACACTATTAGTAAAAAAGAGAGGAAGAAGAAAAAAAAAAAGAACCACCCACCTAAACTAAAAGAACATGGTTAAGGCCAGCAAGTGGCATGGTGGTTAAGAGCACTAGACTCTCACATGGCCAATCGTGGTTCAAGTCCCAGACCTGGCAGCTTGCTTTCTCACTCCCCCCGCCCCCCCCACACACATTCTGTCCCTCTCTAGTCAAATTTAAATAAAGTTAAATAAAAATATTAAGGAAACCATTCTTGTTTCTGTTTGTGAAACAGAAACAAGAGAAAAAATCTCTTAACACAGACTAAGAGAACTCAGTAGCTATGCCTTTAAAAGTTATAAAAGATGGCCGAACCTGATGGTGCAGTCAATACCAAACTAACCTGCAGTGCTGGAAGCCAGGTTCACATCCCAGGATTGGCTTGAAAACACGAGGTGCATGATCCTGTCTAGATGGAAGGATAGAAAGAGATGGGGACAGGAAGAGACCCTGTTGAGGTATTTCTCTCTTTCTTGTGACACTACATACACGATGGCTATCATGAATTTAAAGACTTAAAGTCAATTGGGAAAACCTTAAAAAACTCACACTATTTTTTATCGCTAATCTGTTAAATGTTATTGGAATGCTCCTGGCTTTAGAGTAGAAGCTTCTTGGTATGGCAAAGACAGTTTTCATGATCACTTTTGGTACTCATTAATTCTTTCAATATGCATTTGCTCTCTGAAGCTTTTTGTTTTTGTTTTAATTACATTTAAGTATTATTTATATTTATTATTATTTTCTAATTTAGCCAGAGAGAGAAAGAGAAAGAAATTAAGTAAGAAAGCAGGCCACTAAGTCTGGGACTAGAACTGTGGTCAGCCATGTGAGAGACCAGTGCCTTAACCACTATGCCACCTACTGGCCCCTGAAGCTTCTGTTTAGATATATTTTCCAGAATTGCTAAAGCTCACAGGGTATTTTAATTATTTACAATTCCACTGTAACTCACCTGTTCTTTTTTTTTTTTTTTGGAGAGGTTTTTGCTATAGGGCATGTGCACTTGCCAGACAGAGAGAGAGAGACAGACAGAATGCGAGAAACCACCCCCCAGGGGGGATGGCCACGCAGCAATCCCTTCTCCTCCGTTCTCCTCTCGGGATCTTAGGCATGCACGCACACGCACCCAGTGTGAGTTTTAAGCCGCCGGGACCGGGACGCAAACCGCGGTTGACTACATGGGAGTCCAGCGACATAGCCATTATGCTAATTGCTGGTCCCACTCACCTGTTCTTGTAAAAGCTCTAAAGTCAAAATTATATCCTCTTTTTCCTGCTCTTTGGTCCACTTGAAAGTATTTTCCTCTTTAGTTCTTTTTCTCTCTCTCCCAAGTTTCCACCAGATATACATGTATGTGGGGCATGTGTAAACACACACAGGGCTTGTTTGTGAAACACAAACTGAACAGTGTTTTTACTGTTCTTCCAGGTTATTACTTTGGACCCAGTCCTGGGCTCCTTTCTGATCCTCACCAGTGTCACCTTGATGGTACTTGTGATCATTAATCTTTTTGTTTCAGCCATTCTAATGGCCTTTGGAAAAGAAAGAAAATCCCTAAAGGTAGGTACTCCCTGGCTTGGTAACTGAAAGATAAGCTATCATGATTTTATATACTGGAAAATCTCACCTGCACTGCTCTGAAGACCAGAGACTAATGTTAACACATAGTATCAACACATACCCCATATTAGTCTTATCAGCTCTGCCAACTATTTCCCTACGAAACTTCATTTACCAAGACTACATTATATTCTATAGCTACTGTCCTATAAAAGCTGGCCCCTGGGACCAGTGGATGGCGTAATGGTTATGTAGCTGGACTCCCACATAGTCAACTGTGGTTCAAGTCCTGGACCCAACAGCTTAAAACTCATACCAGGCACATGTGCATATGTGCCCAAGACCCCAAGAGAAAACCAGAGAAGGGTCTGTAGCATGGCATCCCCTCGGGGAGGATGATTTCTCACTTCCTATCTGTCTCTCTGCTTCTCCAGTCAACATACGTGTCCGACAGCAAAAATCTCTTTAAAAAAAAAAAGTGGGACCAGCAGTTAGCCTAATGGCTATGTCGCTGGACTCCAATGTAGTCAACCACGGTTCGAGTCCCAGACCCAGGGGCTTAAACTCACGCCAGGCACATGTGTAAGACCTAGTGGCTTAAACTCACACTAGGCATGTGGGTGCGTGCCCAAGACTTCCAAGAGAATGGAGGAGAAGGGACTGCAGCGTGGCCATCCTCCCTGGGGGGTGATTTCTCGCTTTCTGTCTTTCTGACGAGCGCAGGTGCCCTATAGTGAAAATCTCTCAAAAAAAAAAAAGGTTACCCTCAACCATTAAGTAGTGGAAACACTCCAATGCTTTACAGTCAATCATTAAAGATATAGTATCACGGCCAGCAGGTAGCTTGGTGGTAAGGGCTCTGGACTCTCACATAGCCAATGATGGTTTGAGTCCCAGACCTAGCAGCTTGCTTTCTCACTTTCCCTCTCTCTCTCTCTCTCTGGTCAAATATAAATAAAATAAACAAAAAATAAAGTTAAATGAAATAACTCTTTAAAAAATAACATCTTTATTATTGATATTAATTATTCTACCTTTAGTATTTAACTCCAACATTAGCAGCAATTCCAATTTTCTTTTCTCCTCTTGTCTTCAAATACTCAGAAAGAAGCTGCACTGATAGATGTATTGCTACAGAAGCTCTCAAGTTTGCTAGGAATCCAGCGGCACACCAATACTTCATCTGAGCAAGTAGCCACAATGGGCACTGACACTGAAGTTTTAGAAGACTAACTTAACCTGTTGCCTCCTATCTTGGTTTATTATTTATCTTAGAAAATTATAGAGAGCAATCAAAAACCCCTTGGCTTGAAGTTCTTGCTTATGAGTCTTGGCACTGTCAGGACATGGCTAACACTGCCAGAGAGAAACAGGCTAAACTGGCTCTGCTGTCAAGCAACACACACCTCGTGTCCCAGGAGGGCTGTGGAGAATGAGTGAGTCAGAGTGAGCTCACTGCAACACACTAAAGATAAATATGCCAGCATAAGGTGCGGCTGATGGGAAGGCCTGCCATAGAGAAGCAACCCGGCAAACTCACAAGTGCTACTTGGGCTTAAATGCAGAAATCTAAATGAGCCCTGTACTGCTCCAGAGGTCCACTTTCCTAAAGGAATGAAGGCAAGGGCTAGCTCCAGCACCAGCGTGGGTCACTTGCTTAAAACCTTCTCTACTACCACCCAAATCTGTACTTCAGCATTTCACCCAACAGTGGAGAAAGCAGGACACGAAATCTTTCATTTTATTAGCAGCTATTAAGCTATGAGATACAAACCAATCAAAAAAAAGTTGCTTGAAACAATTATGTACAGATACATTACATAGAAGCCAAAGTCAGTATCTTCTAATCCCACAGCCATCCCTGTGAGGACAGATGGCCTTTGCAAAGGGGCAAAGGAGCACATATGTTACAACAGTAAGAGTGTCATCTGTTCAGAAAAGCAGTGAACCACTATAGCCACGTGCGTATCTGCAATCAATTTTTTAATGTTCCCTTAATCATGAAGTTTTCAAATGAAAACAAGCAACCCTCTTCTCCTGTAGGCTTTCCAACTCACTACCCAAGAGTCTTGAGTACTTCTATTAAGGCAGCTGGAAGCCTACCCCAGGCTTGAATGGCAACTTCTGCCCAGCAACGTGGCCTGTCCTTCCTCTGCCAGTAGTGCAATCCAACAGAACATGCTATGGGGAGAACGGGAATTTCTAGTGTTGCTCTCTGGTAAAAGGGAAACACTGCACTCAAAATAAAGAAAAGGCCACAGAGGGCTCCCTGAGAATCCAGTAGAAGTAAGAGGGGGCCTTCAACTTTCCAAATAAACTTTGCAACTGGATCCAGGTACAACAGTGCCCCATAGCAAGGAGAAGTGTATATGCCAATGAGAGGGCCCAGCTTCCAGGAACCGTTACAATGGCTTCCTGAGTCATTTTTCTCTCTCCCATTCATAATAGTGAGAAAACAACACAAGTTGGCCTTGATTCTCACTCACCATAATCCCCCAACCCGGAGGGGTATGTTTCTATGTCTGGAACGTCAACGCAAGGCTGAGACACTCATGAAATGCTCTCCTCCACTGTCCGGCCACCTCTGGCTATTCTCCCACAACACTTTCATCTTCTCACCCTGCTGTGGAGGGACTGTAGGACAGGCCAGGAGAGAACCTGGGCTCACTGACAGGAACTGGACAAGCACAGTAGCCAGGGATCAGCTGCTCTGGTCTCAAAGTCTCCAGCTGTTAGCCTCTTAGAGCCAATAGAGAACTGGGAAGCAGAGGAATCTGACAGAGCAGAAGGAGAGCCAGAGGAAGTGTGTGCTCAGTGACGGTTAATAGATGAAACGGAATTTCATGGAGATTCTTTGTTACAAGGAGAAACTGCTCAGTCCCAATTCCCAGAATTTGGAAACTGCCTTTGTTAAGAGGCCTATGTTTTCTTCTTCAGCTCTTCAAATCTCCGGGAAAGATCATCGAAGTCAATGTCTTCAGATGCTGAGGTACTGGCACCAGCAGATGCGGCAGGTAGTGTGTCTGGCACAGATGGCAACTCTGGCAGTACGAAGTTGTCATAGTTATCCACAGGTCTGGAAGGGGGCTTTGCAGAGGCTTCTGGCTTGGGTCCAGGACCTAATTTAATTAGGGCAAGGAGAATAATGTTATAACCATGAAAGAAATTATTCAGATCTCCTTTGGAAGAAACAAACTCCACAGTTCCTCTGACAGAAAAAAAGTCTATCAATCAGAATCAGAGGGAAACACTACTTTAAAAAATGTGAAAAATGGGACCAGCAGGTGGTATGATGGTTAAGGTGCTGGACACTCCCACATGGCTGACCACGGTTTGAGTCCTGGACCTGATGGCTTGCTTTCTCACTTTCTCTCTCTTACTCTTTTCTCCCTCTCTCTCTCTGTCTCTCTGATCAATTTAAAAAAAAGAATGAATAAAACAAACAAATAAATAAATAAAATTTTTAAAATAATTTTTTTTTAAATGTGAAAAAAAAAAGTTTAAAAAAATTTTTAAAAATAAGTTTAAAAGAAGTCAAACTGTAGTGCTTGGGGCCAAGTCCTCAGAGTATTCATCTAAACAAACTGTCCCCTTTTACAAAAGTCTGTTCCTTAACAACCACCACTCTTAGGGGCCAACAGGTGGTTTGGTGGTTAAGGTACTAGACTCCCACATGGCTGACTGTGGTTCAAGTCCTGGACCTGGTGGCTTACTTTTTCACTTTTCCTCTCTCTCTGGTCAAATTTAAGAAGTAATAAGGGGCCAGCAGGTGGTGTGGTGGCTAAGGGCACTGGACTCCGACATGGCTGATTGCAGTTCGAGTCCCAGACCTGGCAGCTTGCTTTCTCACTTTCTCTCCCTCCCTCCCTCTCTCTCTCTCTCTCTAGTCAAATTAAAATAATTAAAACTAAAGAAGAAAATTTTTTAAAAAAGAAAAAGGAATAATAACAAAGTCAAATAGACTAAATGGTCTAATATATATTTCTAGTCTTCTGTTTTATATTTTATGTTAAAATCATCTTCTATTTTAGTTTGTGCTATAGTGTATGTGTGCTCAACAGAGACAAAGTGAGAAATCACCTCCAAGGGAAGATGGCCTACCACAACCTCTTCTCTCAAGATTTTGGGCACATGTGCACCCTATGTGATTTTTAGGCAGTCAAGCCCAGGACTCAAACTGCACAGTCAGTTACATGGGACCTAGCAGCCTTAATCTCCACACCACTGGCTAGCCTTCAGTTATCCTCTGTATCTTACGTTCTAAAATATGCAAAACTGGGCTGGTTCCAAGAGTGCAGTTAAATCCTATGCATAAGAAGGTGAATCCCACACAACGGATCATGGTTCAAATCCCAGCCCTGGAAGCTTAAAATATACTCCAGGCACATGTGCCCCAAAGTCTGATGGAATGGGGAAAAAAAAGGATTGTGGCATGTACCACTGGGAGGATGTGGGGGTATTCTCTCTCTCTTTGGCAAGTACATGTGCCTTCTGACAAGTTAAAAGAAAAAATATATATATATATAATATACACATTTAACCCGACTGCACACGCACCACCCCACACACACACACACACAAAAGGCAGGACTAAATTACAGAAAGTCAGAATAAGTGTTTACCTAAAAGGAGAGGGGCAGCCTAGAAAGGAACACAAGAAAAGCTTACTGATGGAAACCTTTTACACTTTGATTAGTGGTGTGTGTATAAAAACACATCAAACTAAACACTAAAAAGTTTGTTTCGGGGCCAGCATGTGGCATGGGGATTAAGGGCATTGAACTCTCTCACATGGCTAACTGCAGTTCGAGTCCCAGACCTGACAACTTGCTTTCTCTCTTTCTCTCTCACTCTCATTCTGTCCCTCTCTGATCAAATTAAAATTAAATAAATGAATAAAGTTAAATAATTCTTTAGAAAAAATAAAAGTAGATTTGTTTTCTATGGGGCCAACAGGTAGCATAGTGGTTAAGGTGCTGGACGACTCCTGCATGGTTGACAATGGTTCAGGTCCAGACCCAGTGGCTTTTAAAACCACACCGGGACCAACCGCTAACCAGTGGCTTGAAAATCATACCAGGCACACGTGCATACATGCCCCAAATCCCAAGAGAATGGAGAAAGGATTGCAGTATGACCATCCCCCCAAGGGGGTGATTTCTCATTTTCCCTCTCTGTTTCCTCCCCAGTGAGTGCACATGCCCTGTAACCAAGAGAGAAAAAAAAAAAAAAACTATGCATTTACAGTGTAAATTATACCTCAATAAAACAACAATCTTTGGGAACCAGCAGTTAGCGTAATGGCTATGTTGCTGGACTACCACGTAGCCGACCGCGGTTCGCGTCCTAGACCCGGTGGCTTAAAACTCACGCCGGGCGCGTGTGCGTGCGTGCCCAAGATCCCGAGAGGAGAATGGAGGAGAAGGGATTGCGGCGTGACCATCCTCTCTGGAGGGTGATTTCTCGCTTTCTGTCTCTCTCTGTCTGTCTGGCGAGCACACGCGCCCTATAGCGAAAACCTCTTAAAAAAAAAAAAAAGAACAAAAAAACAATCTTTAATTTTAAAACCACCCCCTCTGGGGGTATGGTAATGTTATTTATTTATATAAGTTGAAAGCTATATAAACATACTTGCTTTGTGAAAATTCACTGAGCTAAACTTATGACTTGTGCCTATTTTCCCTTATTTAAGGCTTCAACTAAAAAAAAAAATTATTATTTTTACTATTTCCAAGTACAAAGAAAGTTAAAGTAGCAATATACACAGATCTTAAGAGTAATTGAAAAACAGGAAGGTTAAGAAAGTTAAAAGAGGGGTACCAGCAGTCAGCGTAAGGGCTATGTCACTGAACTCCCATGTAGTCGACCGCAGTTCGAGTCCTGGACCTGGTGGCTTAAACTCAAGCCAGGCACGTGTGCATGTGTGCCCAAGATCCCGAGAGGAGAATGGAGAAGGGACTGCGGCGTGGCCAACCCCTGGGGGGTGATTTCTCACTTTCTGTCTCTCTGTCTCTCTCTGGCGAGCTCATGCACCCTGTAGCAAAAACCTCTCCAAAAAAAAAAAAAAGAAAGTTAAAAGAACAGTAATACCTCTTTGGGACTGGAGCAAATTATTTTCAGAAGAAATCCTGAGTTCTGTTTTAGCCATAATAGATTTGGGGAAAGGACAGGGTATGTGGATGAATGCCATGAACATAATCTCTGAGATAGGAGGAATAAGAAAATAGCTGAGTGAGGTCAACACTGAGTCTTGAAGGTTTCTAATTTATACTCACCAACAATCTGTGCAGAAGAGACATTCTTATCAGCATTTATGTCATCAACCTGAAACACAAGGACTGTTACCAGCAGAAAAAGTAGAGAAAAGTACTGATACTGATATAAGCAAGCCCCTGTATTTTCCAAAAGCTAAGCTAAGCTGCTCACCAAAAGCAATAACCCTGCATTTCTACCTTCTTCCAACCAAGTGGATACCATGCTAGACTCTTCATACATTTACTGGAGAGACAGAGAACCAGAGAGGTTCAGTGAGAAATCACCATCCAGGGGGTTGGCTATGCTGCAATTCCTCCTCCACTCTCCTCTTGGGATTTTGGGCACACGTGCACACACATGTCCCCCTGCATGTTTTTTAAGCCACCAGGTCTGGGATTCGAACCATGGAGTTAATCATGTGGAGATCTAGCACCCTAACCACCACAGCATCTGCTGGCCCCACCATAACACTTTCTGTTTTCCCCTTAGAGTGTTTTGCTATAGGACTCACGTGCTCACCAGAGAGACAGAAAGTGAGAAATTACTCCCTGGGGGGAGATGGTCCCCCCGCAATCCCTTTTCCAGTCTCCTCTCAGGATTTTGGGCATACATGCACACACACCCAGCATGAGTTTTAGGCCACTGGGTCCAGGACTCGAACCGCAGTTGACTACATGGGAATCCAGCGACGTAACCATTACATCATCTGCTGGTCTCCCCATGACACCTTTTTAAATAATACCTTCTTCACCTTTTAGGGATAGAGAAAACCTAAAACTACTAAATATATCTGTAAGAACCAAATCCATATGCCTATGCCAATGAGAGCACCTCGCTTCCAAGAACACGAATAATGCCTTCCCAAGTCATTTTTGTTTTCTTTCTCAACCATATTAGAGAGAAAATGCCATCTTCTACAGCATTCCTACAGTTGTGGGTCACCTTTTGATGCATGCAAGATAGAAGCGTAAGAAAAACTCAGGCCCAAGATAAAACACAACAGCTAGAGATAAAAACCGAAGGAAAGAACATGAGCAAGCTCAGGAACAGGGAGATCTTCCTAGATGGCAAATGCCAAACCAACTGGTTTTTCTCGGTAAAATACCTGATGGAAATAGGTCTCAAAGGCATTTATTAACTAAGGAAACAAGGCTGGCAGAAAATCATCTAAATCTGAACCAAAGCTGTTACAACCACCTATGTTCAAGGCATCACTAGCTACTTGTGGTTAAAACTTAACCACAAGACTAAAAATGTGAAATCAATGCTATAGGCCTAAGTGTACTAACAAAATCTGGGCACTATTTCTTTACATGAGTACTGAGACCTCATAAAGCTGAAATTTTACCGATTATGATATGTGGCACCAAGACTATACTGGCTCAGTATGATTCTCTGTTAAGCTAGCAGAATAATTAAAAACTGATTAAATGCCTATGTAGGGCACTACAACCTTCTAAGAGATCTGCAGCTCCATCCTGATTCCTGGCTTCAATGCAGACAAACATTGCCACCAATGCTGCTGCCACCACAAACACTCCCCATTTCCAGGGTAGTGTTTAAAGCAACACAAAAATCCCAAAGCAAGAGTAAAGCCAGTACTAGAGGTTGATGAAAATTTTGCCTTCCCTGTGGCCATTATTTTGCTCTCTCTCCATGGGATTCACTCTCCTGTTGCTTATAAAAGAGGCTCAGGCACTTACAGATTCATACGATGGGGGAGTTGCTGGTATCTGAGGTGGATGAATATTGGGAAAGGCCTGATAAGTCCCCATTGGCAATCCATTGAAATCCGACTGTAAGAGGAGAAAGGCAACATCAGAGACACTGCCCCCAATTTGTAATCTCTGAGGTTTGCATGTGGGAACGAAGGAAACAAATATCCAAAAGAATAAGTGGTCAGAGAATTCAGATTTTTAAAAATCTATAGCCAAAGGCTATTCTTTAAATTACTAAATGAAGTGCTTCAAGGTCTACAAGGGGAAATTATAATTAGACTTTACTAGTAATGATCTTCATCATTTTGTCTAAAAAGAGGAGGTAATAAGTGGATATTATGCACTTTTGGAAAAAGCTACCAACATGACTGCGACAGGGTCCAAAGATATTCAGTAAACCTATATAAAAAGGTTTTTTCTAGCATCTTTTCTCTAGATTTTGCCACTTAATTACCTATAGCTGAAACAAAATAACTCTGAATCCCAGTAACATTCTCCCCCAATATGATTACTAGGCTAATAACAAACATACTTACTGCTAAATTCTCCCAACAGCCTATAATCACTGAATATTCACGGAGCCAAGTAGCCATCTATGACCTTTTTGTTAACATCCACACTTTATGTGCATACTTACTGGTCCCTTTGGCAATGGATATGAGAAAGGAGGATTTGAAGATGGCATGGGCATAGGCATGGGCATGGGCATGGGCACTGTTCCATCAGGTCCACCCACTGGTGCTGTGAACCCGCCCCCTCCTCCTCCTCCTCGTCCAGGGCCACCTTTCTTCACATCATCTGTGAATCCAACATCAATAAGATCTGTCTCTACACCAGGAGGAGCTTCTGCCTGAGAAGGAGAAAAACCCGTGTCATTAGTCCATGTCCAAAGCGAGGTTCCCCACAAAGCAGACTCCAAAATGGAGATAAGCATGAAGAGAGTCTCCTGGGGAGTGCTCTTGGGATCAACACCTGTGGGGGACGTGAAGGAAGCAGAGCCAGGTAGAGGAAGAATTTGGCTACATCAGAGTCATAACAAAGGCCTCAGCTAATTCTCCAGGGAACTCTGGAGCTGGGATAGACCTTCAGGAGGGTATGGGGCAAAGGAGCAGAGTTTATAGCCCCCGACAGTGACCAGTTAGTTACTGGACAAGCTGTCCCCAGGAGACTCTAGGCAAAGCAGCTCCTGAGCTTGAGAGGGCTGGTGTCTAAGGAATACACCAAAGAATCCACCACATCCCCTCTCCTTGACTGCTAAACAGTGACAGTTTACATATTTGCCCTCCTTACCCTAAGCTTCTCATGACAAAGACCTTGTTTTCACATATTTCTGCAGTCTCAGCCTACTGTGCACTATGACACACGGTGGTACCAATAAGTACTTTAGGACTGTTTAAGTCTTGGGCATTTCTTGCTAGCTACCAGGGGATCTCAATTCCTAGAAGTTCATGAAAAGCAGCAACAGTGTCATTTGTATCTAAGCCCATACTTTCTCAAAGCACTTTCTTATTCGTCTAAACTGATCCTTAAGTACTCTGTGAGATATGCAGGTGTGTTTTTGTCACCTAAAATTAGAGGCACTAATTAGACTAAGGCTTAAACTCACACAAACTTAAATCAGTGCAAAGATGGTGGTTATTTTTTCAAAGAAGGTCATTTCTAGAGACTCATTTTCCTTTATATTCTGGAATAAACTTACCATGACCACCGAGTCAGGCTCATAGGGTACATTATAATTCTTAGCAATTTCGATCAGGTATCTCTCCACCAGGATTTTGGGTGGGGCTTCCACACTCAGTTTGTGCATTAACTGTAAGTGAAAGACCCAGGGTTAAGATGTAGCTATACTAAGCAGACTAATCCTAACCTGTTTCACTAAACTTAGCTCCTCTCACTTTTCAAGTAAAGTTGAGGTAAAAAGGTTTAGAGCAGTTCAACGATTTTTTTTCAGTCACGAGGCATATACCAGGACCCAGGCCTCTCTCATTTTCTGGTTAGACATACGGAATTATAAAGGGCTAGTACCGACACCCTTCAAATTTCACTTAATCCACCCTTCCAATCCCCTTACTTTCTACCTTCACAACCCACAAAAGACAAGAACTAATGGGGGAATGTCGGAAATGACAGAGAGCATTGCCATCAGACGTGCTGGGCAGGGTAAGTAGCTGACTTCACTGCCAGCCACACAGCCTTCCTTTTCATTCTATGAAATGTGCCCACCCACACAGTGGCAACCACTAGAATCACAGCTGACAATAAAGCAGCTACCACCCCGCATGCCTCTTCACAAAGTATGTCCGTTACCCTGTCATTCACAGTTCCGATCTGGTTGGTCCTACACAACTTGCCATATTCCTTGCTATACTTCGCACAGAGCTGATCTGCAACCTACAGAGAAAAAAGAACAGTAAATACAAAAGGAAATCACACCTACAGATGGCTTCATGCTTCCTCCTATCAACGGTAAACATGCTTCTATTATAGGATTTCCAAAACACTATGGGCTAGAAGTACACTTTAACTCACTTATGTATTTGTCACTCCATCCATCCAATGAGCAGCAACCAAGTGCCAAACACTATTATAAGCATCACGAGAAATATAGCACATGTACTGATAACAAAAACAGATAATTATTCCTACTCTTCGAGTCTTACAATCTCTGGAGAAAATAGTCATTAATCAAATAATCACACAGGTAAAGGTATAACGGCAGCTGTGCTAAGTGCTCCCAAGAGAGGGTACACCAAGTGATCACTAGCATGTAACGGGAGAATCAGATCTGATCAGAAGAGTCAGGAAAGGCTTCCTGGAGGAAGTAATGCTTTGCTGACATTTAAAGGTTGATTAAAAGTTAACTGAACAGGAGGGAGAGAAAAGCATTCCAGGGAAAGAAAACAGCATGTGCCTCTGGTAGAAAAAATATGGCCCGTCCTCGAGCCTGAAATAAAAGTCAGTGAGCCTATAAAACGAAGACTGAAGGAAGAGTGTGGTAGGAAATGAAGTAAAGGCAGGTGGAAGCCAGATAATGTAGGCCATATTAAGGCGTTTTATTTCTATCACAATTAAAACACTACTAAAGGGGTTTCCATGCTAGAAAAGTCCTAGGCTCACATCCAGAGATCTCCCTGAGCATGCTGAGCACACAGATATGCCTGTGATCTGGGTCAGCTGAGACTGGGGTGGATCATGGCATGGGACATGCCTGTCTCTCTCACTGAAGAAAAAGAAAAACTTGAAAGAAAAAGAAAAAAGAGAAAGCTTTATACCAAGAATAGTGGCAGACTAGATCTGTGTTCTGAATAAAACCCTCAGGCTGTTCAGATAAAAGAGTGAATAAAGTCAAAATAGGTGAAGAAGGATAAACAAGAAGCTACTATTGGGTTGTCAAAAAAAGTCACAGTGGGGAACTAGCAGTTAGCGTAATGGCTATGTCGCTGGACTCCCACGTAGTCGACCGCGGTTTGCGTCCTGGACCCGGTGGCTTAAAATTCACGCCGGGCACGTGTGCATGCGTGCCCAAGATCCCGAGAGGAGAATGGAGGAGAAGGGATTGCGGCATGGCCATACCCCCCGGGGGGTGATTTCTCGCTTTCTGTCTCTCTGTCTGTCTGGCGAGCGCATGCGCCCTATAGTGAAAACCTCTCAAAACAAAACAAAACAAAACAAAACAAGTCACGGTGTGGGCCAGCAGGTGGCGTGGTGGCTTAAGGCACTGGATTCCCACATGGCCAACCAAGATTAGAGTCCCAGACTTGGCAGCTTGCTTTCTCACTTTACCTTTCTCTCTCTGTCTTTGTGAACAAATTTTAAAAATGATAATAACAAATGGAATTAAATAAATAGTTTTTATAAAAGAAAAGTCAGGACCAGCAGTTGGCATAATGGCTATGTCACTGGACTCCCATGTAGTCGACCGCGGTTGGAGTCCCGGACATGGTGGCTTGCTTTCTCACTTTTCTTGTCTCTTTCATCAAATTAAAAAATAGTAAGAATAGGGCTGGCAGTTGGCATGGTGGTTAATGGCACTAGACTCCCACAGTTCAAATCCTGGACCTGGCAGATTGCTTTCTCACTTCTCTCCTGGACCAGGAGGCTTGCTTTCTCAATTTCCCTCTCTCCCTGCCTGCCTCCCTCCCTCTCTCTCTCTCTTTCTCTCACTTTGTCCCTCTCTGGTCAAACTGAAAGAAAGGAAGGGGGACCAGCAGTTAGTGTAATGACTATGTTGTTGGACTCCCACGTAGCTGACCGCGGTCCCAGTCCTGGACCTTCACTCCGGGCACGTGTGCATGCGTGCCCAAGGTCCCGAGAGGAGAATGGAAAAGAAGGGATTGCAGCGTGGCCATAACCCCAGGGGGCTGATTTCTCGCTTTCTGTCTCTTTGTCTCTGTCTTTCTGGCAAGGGCATGTGCCCTTATAGCAAAAACTTCTCCAAAAGAAATTTAAAAAAAGAAAAGAAGGAAGGAAAGAAAGTTTAAAAATAAGAATAAAGATTAAACAACTCTTTTAAAAAATCTTTTTAAAGACTTATTCTTATTTATTTATTTATTTTTAATGTGCTATGGGAACATGTGCTTGAGAGAGAGAAATTGAGAAAGTAAGGAAGCTAGCCACCAGGTCCACGACACAAGCTGCAGTCTGTCATGTGTGAGTCCAGCACTTTAACAACCACACTAGCTGCTGGCCCTATTTTATTTATTATCATCATTATTATTATTCAAATTGGCTATAGAGCATGTATACTCACCAGATAGAGATGTGAAAGAGGAAAAGTAAGAAAGCAAGCCATCAGATCTGGGGCTTGAACCACAAGCAGACATGCGGGAGTCCAGTGCCTTAACTACCACACCACCTGTTGGACCCCCGTTTTTTCAAGCCAATGGATCTGAGACTCAAGAAGCCATGTTGGACGCAGCCACCTTAGCCACCATGCCACTGGCTAGCCCATTATTTTGTCTTTTTTTGTTTATTTGATTTGCTATAAGACAAGTACATTTGTTGGAGACACAGAGAGTAACTGAGAAAGTACTCCCAGGGGGAATTGCCATGTCACAATCCTTTCTCTTCCATTCTCCTCTCAGGATTTCTGGCACACATGCACATACAACCACTGTTTTTTTTTTTTTTTGGAGAGGTTTTTTGCTATAGGGCATGTGCGCTCGCCAGACAGACACAGAGAGACAGAAAGCGAGAAATCACCCCCCAGAGGGGATGGTCACGCTGTAATCCCTTCTCCTCCTTTCTCCTCTCGGGATCTTGGGCACGCATGTACATGCGCCCGGAGTGAGTTTTAAGCCACCGGGTCCGGGAAGCAAACCACGGTCTTCTACATGGGAGTCCAGCAACATAGCCACTACACTAACTGCTGGTCCCTTCTATGAACTTTTTAAAGATCCCTCATTTAACTACCCTTTCTAACAATATAGAAATTACAGACATAACTGAAACTGGTTGTACTCACTATTTTCAACTCAGCCACTTCTGACTGGAGTCGAGGAGCAGCCCAGATTAGTGTAGACACAGATTCAGCCAGACCAGAATCTAGCTCCCTAATTGAGGGAAAAAATAAATATAATTTAACATTCTTCAAAACAAACCAATAAAACCTTAGCTTTTATATCATATACTGGATAGCCTCTAAAACTATTTCATGAATCCCACCAGATTCTCACAATAACTACATTTCTAGCCATTTTTGGTACCTTATTATACTTTTGGGAAAATTCAAACTAAGTAACAAAACCAAGGCCACAAAGTCAGGAAACATTTGAGCCAAGACTCAAATTAGGCCTCTCAATCTCACATTCTCTATCTTGTTTTCAACAGTTATTTACTAAGATCAGACCTTCAAGAGACTAGTAGAAAAAAAGAACCTCAGAGGGGCTGGCAGGTGGCGTGATAGTTAAGGACACTGGATTCCCACATAGCCAAGCATGGTTCGAGTCCCAGATGTGGCAACTTACTTTCTCATTTTCACTCTCTCTCTCTGTCTCTGTCTCTGTCCCTCTCTGGTCAAATTTAAATAAATAAATAAAGTAAAATAAAATAATTTTTTTTTTTACAAAAAAGTCATGTTTAAAGAAAAGAAAAAAACCTCAGGTATGAGAAACAATCCCTTAGTGCTAGCCCCTCCATGTAGAGAAAGGCCAATATAATCTCCTTCTCAGATTCTAGAAGTGACTTAGGTCCCTGAATCAAAAATCTTACTTCATAGACTGGATGAGACCAAACCGAGCCAGTAGCAGGTCACAGTACAGCTCCAGGATCTCCATGGCCTCCACGAGGTAGTCTTCCCGGATGATGTGCTCCACGCGGATGCGAGCGCGCTCATCCTTCCCAGCGGCCAGATAGTCAGCAATTTCCTTCCTTGCCTTCTGCGCCAGTTCCGCTAAGACACAAATCCCACTCCAGTCATACAGCAGTTATGCACTGGGACCTGGCCCACAACAGACTCTACCCCAAAAGAGAAAACAGGGTGTTCCTACTATACCCTAGCACACTCTTCCTTAGCCAATTTAGTCCCATCTCATCAACTCTAGAATTAGCTACTCTGGGTGAGGATATAGTTTGTGTGGCTTGAGACATTTCCAACTCAGAAATTATGTTACCTATTCTGCAGCAACAGAGCATGCCCCTTTCCCTGCAAAAAAGGGATTCAGTCTAGTCACAAAAGGCAGAAATGCATCCAAAGCTTAAAAAACAAGGGATCCCTGAGACTTCTAGCAAAGGCCTAAAAGATCCGTAACTGGGGCGTTAGTACCCAGTAATATACTTTGGGGAAATTAAAGATAAGGCAACTATGCACTACTCACTTTTTTTTTTCTCTAATAGTTTAAGACGATTTATGACTAATCTCAAATTGACTCGTAAACGTTCAGCTTTAAATCCAGAGCCCAGCATGCTGTGTTTTTTCTCCTGGAAAAAGAAGAAACACAATGACTATTTTCAAGTTAAACTTAGTTTAGGAATTAACATCACATAGATGGTTATTTGACATAATAAACCAGTGTTTTGTTTTTAATTTTTGCCAAAGGCCACATGTGCTGACCAGAGAGAGAGAAGGGCAGGGGAATCCCTGTCACACTACAATCCCTTCTCCTCCATTTCTCCATCCTGTTGGGATTTAAGACATGTACACAGACATGCCTGGCATGCTTTCCAAGCCACTGAGACTGGGATACGAACTGTGCTTGGTCATGGTTTAGCCCTCTTAGCCACTAGACTACATGACCAGCCCTCAATGAACTTTTTCAAGCCTCTCTGTCTTAAGCTTCAGTTTTTTGTTGTTGTTGTTGTTGTTGCCAGAGGGTACATGGACTTGCCAGAGAAATAGACAAGAGAGAGGTAGAGGGAGAAAGCACACTTCCCTTCCAACCAGAGTATGGTCACACTGCATTACCTTTTCCTTCACTTTCTCCATCCTACTGGGATTTGGGGCACACATGCACACACATCTGGCATGTTTATCAAGTTGCCAGGGCCAGGATTCAAACCATCTGGTCAACACATCACATAGATGGTTATTTGACATAATAAACCAGTGTTTTGTTTTTAATTTTTGCCAAAGGCCACATGTGCTGACCAGAGAGAGAGAAGGGCAGGGGAATCCCTGTCACACTACAATCCCTTCTCCTCCATTTCTCCATCCTGTTGGGATTTAAGACATGTACACAGACATGCCTGGCATGCTTTCCAAGCCACTGAGACTGGGATACGAACTGTGCTTGGTCATGGTTTAGCCCTCTTAGCCACTAGACTACATGACCAGCCCTCAATGAACTTTTTCAAGCCTCTCTGTACTAAGCTTCAGTTTTTTGTTGTTGTTGTTGTTGTTGCCAGAGGGTACATGGACTTGCCAGAGAAACAGACAAGAGAGAGGTAGAGGGAGAAAGCACACTTCCCTTCCAACCAGAGTATGGTCACACTGCATTACCTTTTCCTTCACTTTCTCCATCCTACTGGGATTTGGGGCACACATGCACACACATCTGGCATGTTTATCAAGTTGCCAGGGCCAGGATTCAAACCATCTGGTCAACCATGTAGAATCTGGCTCCCTTAACCACTGGGACAAACTCTTAAGTCTGTCTTTGAGAAAAGGCTAGTGTCCAACATCACAGAAATATCATTAACACCAACCCACATATGGAGTTACAGAAAGGGGTAAAAAGATCAGGAAGTAAAAAATAAAACAAAACAAACTGAACAAAATCTTACAAGATAAGGCTATTTACCCAGAATTTCACTGAACAGCTCAGTAACAGTGAACAAACCTCTCTCTACCCACGAGTCTTTTGGGTACACCATTGTGCATTAACCATTGTACATTCTATTTCAAGACAACACAACTTCTATTTCTCTCAATTAATTCTGGATTCAAACTCCAAAATATATAATATCCAAACAAAAGCTAGGCTTAACAAAGTAACCAAAGTGGAGGAGGGGATGCTCTAGCCTAGGACCACCATCCAGTTTCTGTAGTAGTCCCAGAGATAGAAGGAGCAACAGAGAAACTAAGGCCCCTGGCCTTAGCTCATCAGTAGGGTCCCTGGCCAAACCTACAGGGGAGGGGATGCTCTGGCCTGCACACCATGCATTGTATGACGCGAACCACCGTAATAGCTTATCTGTCCAACTCAACCTCCAACCACAATGGGAGCAGAATTTTGTGTACACAGTAACCAAACAACCAAAAAGAGTGAGGTTTTGGAGTAATTATCTCCCCAGAACATCCTCCACCAAACAAAAGGAGAGAAAGTCCCCTGTGGAAACATAAAACCAAAACTCCCACTGAGGATTCCACACTCCCACCCTCAATAGAGGAGGGATACTGGCACAGAGCTAATTACACCATAGGGAAGTGCATGAGCGCACGGCTTTAGAAACATACCCTAAAGTAGGAAGACGTGAGTATAAATTACCAGATGACTAAAAATGAAAGCAGAGTCCCAAAAAATAGAACACTGGGAAATACCTTCTCTGCAAAGGAATATAACAACTCCTCACCAGCAATAGCTAAAATACAAGAGATCACAGAAATGAGAGAAAGGGAATTGAGAATATTCACTGAGATGCAAGAGAAAACAGACAACCAATTCCAGGAGATGAGAAATTCCTTTCATGACTGGAAGGAAGAACTCCATATAGAGACAGACGTACTTGGGGCAAGCAGGTGGTATGGTGGTTAAGGTAGCAGACTCCCACATAGCTGATCACAGTTCAAATCCCAGGCCCAGTGGCTTGAAAAATCACACCAGGCATGTGTGTGTGCATACCCAAAATCCCAAGGAGAATGGAAGAGAAGGGACTGAGGCATGACCATCTCCTCCAGGGGATGATTTCTCACAATCTTTTCTTTTTTTGGAGAGGTTTTTGCTATGGGGCATGTACGCTTGCCAGACAGAGACAGAAAGACAGAAAGCGAGAAATCACCCCCCCAGGGGGGATGGCCACGCCACAGTTCCTTCTCCTCCATTCTCCTCTCGGGATCTTGGGCACGCACGCACATGCACCCAGCGTGAATTTAAGCCACCGGGTCCAGGACTCGAACCATGGTTGACTACGTGGGAGTCCAGCAACATAGCCATTACGCTAACTGCTGGTCCCAATTTCTCACTTTCTCTCTCTCTATCTCTCTCTGGTGTGCACATGCACACTATGACAAAAACCTACAGAAAACAAAAATGCAAACAAAAAAACTTAAAAAGACCTGAAGTCACACCAAGAGTATTTCTTCAACTACAATAGGATTAAACTAAAAAAAAAGATAACAAGATGACCAACAACAACAAAAAACCCCTCCAAAACCTTGGAAAGTAAACAACACTCAGTTATTTACTTCTTTACTAAGGTTTTGCCATAGAGTGCATGTGCTCGCTGGAAGCAGAGTAAAGGAAAATGAGGAATCACTATCCAGCAGCACAGCCACACCACAATCCCTTCTCTATTCTCTGCCTGAGATTTTGGGTATGTTCACATATGTTCATCGCTTGATTTTCAAGCTGCTGCATCTGGGACTCAAACCACAGTCAGCCATGTGGGAGTCCAGCACCTTAACTATCACATCATTTGCTGGCCCCAACAGAAACTTTTTTTTTTTTTGGGGGGGGGGGTGCTATTGGGCATGTGTGCTCGCCAGAGAAAGACAAAGCGAGACATCACCCCCCAGCAGGGATAGCCATGCCACAGTCCCTTCTTCTCCATTCTCCTCTCAGGATTTTGGGCACACACGCACAGGCATCCAGCGTCAGTTTCAAGCTACCTCAGTTGACTACGTGGGAGTCTAGAGACGTAACCATTACACCAACTGCTGGTCCCCAACAATAACCTTTAAAAAAAAAAAAATCTATGAGTCAAAGAGAAAGTCTCAAATGAAAACTTTTTTTAAATGGTTTTTTGTTGTGTTTTTTTTTTTTCTCCCCTATGTGTGTGCTGGCGACCAGCGGTTAGCGTAATGGCTATGTTGCTGGACTCCTATGTAGCTGACCACAGTTCGAGTCCCGGACCCGGTGGCTTAAACTCACTCGGGGGCGTGTGCGTGTGTGCCCAAGATCCCAAGAGGAGAATGGAGGAGAAGAGATTGTGGTGTGACCACTCCCCGCCCCGGGGGGTGATTTCTCACTTTCTGTCTCT